GTGACCCCTCCTGCTCCTTTGAGTCTCCTCCACCCTGGGTCTCACCATGGTTGGCTGATTGTTTTATGATTATAACTAGAAGCACTTGGGAAAATGGGCCTTTCTCTTATTAGGCTTGCTTGTACCCATCTACCTGTCCTGCCCGGGCCTGGGCATGGAGGAGGCTGCAGCAAACACCAGCTGTCTGGGAGATGGAGGGTTAGAGAGAGGATTCAACTGGAGGTACCAGTGGGGGAAGGCAGGCAAGGGGGTGAGCTGTGGAAAGTCGGGAAGCACAGAAGGCGTGGCAGTAGGGCCAGGGAGGAGAGCATGTGGAGGTGCCAGACCAACCTAGGGGGCCAGGACAGGGGACTAGAGGTGATGGGAGGCAGCAACAAGAACTTCTGAGGTTGTGGTTGAGGTTCCACCCAGGGATGGGGAGGCCAAAAGTTTAAGGATCCAGGTGCCTCATGGAACATCTCAAAGCCAGTGTCAAGGCCTTTGGGCCTTCTGGATTGGTAGGAGCTGGAATGAGGAAGAAAAGGGGCAGCTCTGGGCCCAGCCATCTTGCCTTAGTTTGTCTGCTAGGCTTGGGCTCTGTGGGGCCCTCATGTGTGCTCCTCGTTCCCTGTGCCTGAATCCCCACCCCACTATCATTCATGTCACTTGACCATTTCCCTTGCCTGCCAGGGACCTCCCTTCCTACCCCTTCAGGAGCTGGTGGAAACTTCCTAAAGCTGAATCTCATCTCCCTTGGTCCAGCGCAGCATCTGTCGCCTGCCTATTGAGTGTAGGCTTCTTGGTCAGAGCTCACATTCATGGGAATACCTTGGGGACAGAGGCTCCATAGTCTACCTCATTTTGACACCCCACACCCTTAGGCAGTTGCTCTAGAAAAAGGAATCTTGTATTTAGTGTGACATGCATGTCTTAGCTGTGTTGTGAATCCACTTCTGTGGAGACCAGGGCTGGGCTTACCAGCCAGGCTGGTCTCTTCTGCACACACACACACACACACACACACACACACACACACTGCTCCTCCAAGGCCATTATTCTCTATTTCTTAAGCCATTACACTCCTGCAGGGGATGTGGAGGAAATTCTGGTGGTGGTGGCAGCTGTGTAAGGACCTGGGCAGGAGTGGGTGCTCTGGGCTAGTGGCCTACAAGTATGGGACACTGGGCCAGAACAGGCCTCAAGGATAGATATCGCAACCCTTCAGCTGGAGAAAAAGAGGTCTATATTTACACACAAATCTGCTCTCTGAATATGCTTAGATGCATGCTTGTATAGGAACAGGCTGTCTCTGTGGCTACTGACAATATGGCTAGTGGGCTGCAGGTGGGGCACTAGTGGGGAGGGACAGGAGGGTGACTTGTCACTGTACACCCTTCTGCACCTTTTGGAGTCTGAGCCTTGTGAGTGTGTTACTATTTTTTGAGACAGAGCCTCAAGCTGTTGCCCTGGGTAGAGTGCCATGGCATCACAGCTCACAGCAACCTCCAACTCCTGGGCTTAAGTGATTCTCCTGTCTCTGCTTCCCAAGTAGCTGGGACTACAGGCACCTGCCACAACGCCTGGCTATTCTTTGCAACCATCATTGTTGTTTGGTAGGCCGAGGCTGGATTTGAACCCACCAGCTCAGGTGTATGTAGCTGGTGCCTTAGCCACTTGAGACGCTGAACCAAGCCTTTTTGTCTTTTTCTTTTTTTTGAGACAGTTTCACTTTGACACCTTTGGTAGAGTGCCATGGTGTCATAGCTCACAGTAACCTCAAACTCTTGGGCTTCTCTTGCTTTAGTCTTCCTAGTAGCTGGAACTACAGGCTAGTCACAACACCAGGCTATTTTTAGAGAGGGGAGTGT